ATTGAACCTTATGGGAAAATTTGATTCGGGTCGCGACCAATTCGGGTCACGACCAGAGTCGTGGAACGAATTAAGTTCATGAACCGAGGTACCACTGTACATCTAGATGTATTTGAAATATTTTCTGGTCATCCAAGTTCCTCTGTTGATTCATTCCACCTGTGGGAGATTTTTAAAAGAATAATAGAGGTTTGCTTTGTGAACAGAGTGGATGATTTCAAAACTTCCTTTTATTTCCCTTGCTTTGGCTTCTGACACTAAGAGCAAAACAGAAGAAGACAAGACTAACAGTTGCTACAGGGAAAGAAGAACAAATATGAATAGATTACATTGTTAGAGATGGAGAATTATGATTTTAATACATAAAATGTTTAATGCTTAAATTTTAAACATTTAAAACATAAAAATTGCCTTTTAAAAACCTGCTTTGAAAACTAATGCATGCTCTGAATTGCCAAGGAAACAAGCCCAAGACTTAATTTTCAAAAACAGAACTGCAGGACTTATATTGAGCAGAGTTGTCTGAGTTAATAGCCCATCGTAATTCTTCAGATAATTCTTTCACTTGCTGAGTGGAGAAAGGATAGAATGAGTTTACAGGCACTTCTGCTGTAATCTTGCTCCTTAGTAATGCTTGACTGTAAAGACTAAAACTAATTTGTGAACTGCTGAGGAATGGACATTTTCTTCTTCTGAATGGGGTTATCCAGACAGTCACATCAGTGTGCTTTCCTCCTCTCCTTGCTATGGAGCCTGAAATATAGCGGTCCTTTACTCTGCCTCAGGAACAAGACTGGCAGTGTGGCTGCCTCACATGAGAGGGGCAGGTGGCAGCTGCTGCTGCTGTTGGGCTGGTGACAGTGCTTTCCCTCTTGGTGATGGCAGGATGGTGGGGATGGGGCAGAGCAGGGGGAAGGAAGAGAGCAACGCATTACTTCATGCTTTACTCTAACTTCCCTCATTTGTCCACCGAAGTTGCTTGCTTTTTTCTCAGCTTCTCTGCAGAAACTGGCCTTTGCATTTCCCCATGCCCAGTGCATTTGGGAAGACCAAAGCATGCAAAGAGGTGGCAGCGGTGGAAGAATTGATTAAGGAAGGGCCACTTTCCTCACTTATTTGCCAACTGAAGCTTCCCTGTGGGGATACCTTCCATGGAGACACAAAGCCCTGCTGCTGGATAGGAGGGGAGAGTCCTAAAGCAGCCAGGCGAAGCCCTGCCACTTGCCAGCCCTCCAAAGACAACTTCATAGGAAAGTCACAGAAAAAGATTTCTTCTTGATTTCCAATAGAAAGCCCTAGTTTCCTGCCAGATTGCTTTGATGTGGCTTTAGTTTGTCAGCAGTGGGTTGGCACTGAGGTGAAGGCTCTGTTGGGAGAACATATGTGCAACGTCAGATAAGTGGGCCAAATTGGAGCTGGGCAAGGGAGCGGTGTGGGTGAGCTCAAAGCCTGTATCACATACACAAGATGTCTGTTTGTGTCCCAGGCATAATGCTGCATGACATCACTTCTAATCAAAGACTACAGTATAACTTTTGTATTTTGATAGTTAACAGCCAGCTGTTTGGCCTTTCAGTAGGTATGTTCTATCTTTTATCAGATCAATGAATATTTTTAGTAGATACCTAAGTTTGGTGCTACTGTCTGCAATAAAGAGTGATTTCTGGTGTAGGACTAAAAAAGGTTGAGGATATATCTGGGAAGTTTTGTTCATAATACACAAAAATGTGGAGGAATATATGTACATTTTTTTTTTTTGCTAATCAAATGACCATAATCAATGTTGCTTATTAACATTTCTAATCAGACTCCTAAAACTTCAGAAGTGCTGCATTGACACTCCAAGATCTGCTGAGTGCTATTGAGTTGATATCCTTGGGCATCACTCACCTGTGGACACTTTCTCCTGACCCACAAAGTAGCCTCTTGCTATCTGTTTTATTTTGCAATTTACTTTTTAGAGGGCAAAATGATAAAAGTAAGATAAAATCCTATACCAGAAAGATAGTTTACATACTGTACATATACAGTGGGGCAAAAAAGTATTTAGTCAGCCACCAATTGTGCAAGTTCTCCCACTTAAAAAGATGAGAGAGGCCTGTAATTTTCATCATAGGTATACCTCAACTATGAGAGACAAAATGGGGAAAAAAATCCAGAAAATCACATTGTCTGATTTTTAAAGAATTTATTTGCAAATCATGGTGGAAAATAAGTATTTGGTCACCTACAAACAAGCAAGATGTCTGGCTCTCACAGACCTGTAACTACTTCTTTAAGAGGGAGCAAACTTCAGACAGGCCCGGACATGTACTGGCTTAAGCAGGGGGACACGTCTGGCACTGCAGGATTTGAGTCCCTGGTAGCAAACTTCAGACAGGCCCGGACATGTACTGGCTTAAGCAGGGGGACACGTCTGGCACTGCAGGATTTGAGTCCCTGGTAGCAAACTTCAGACAGGCCCGGACATGTACTGGCTTAAGCAGGGGGACACGTCTGGCACTGCAGGATTTGAGTCCCTGGTAGCAAACTTCAGACAGGCCCGGACATGTACTGGCTTAAGCAGGGGGACACGTCTGGCACTGCAGGATTTGAGTCCCTGGTAGCAAACTTCAGACAGGCCCGGACATGTACTGGCTTAAGCAGGGGGACACGTCTGGCACTGCAGGATTTGAGTCCCTGGTTTTAAAAATCAGACAATGTGATTTTCTGGATTTTTTTCCCCATTTTGTCTCTCATAGTTGAGGTATACCTATGATGAAAATTACAGGCCTCTCTCATCTTTTTAAGTGGGAGAACTTGCACAATTGGTGGCTGACTAAATACTTTTTTGCCCCACTGTAGATACTGAGATTACTTCAACGCAATTCATGTCAACAATATATAATATATTATTAGTCAATGCTGTCTCATGCAGTGATCTATCTTGATGCAGTGAGTTAGCCGGGAACACCCAAGAATTAGAGTAAGGGGGTTGTACTAGGTGTTATGCTGTGCTGGTGAGGTTATTTTGACTGACAGCTATCCCTCTTTCTGGTGAACGGACAAAACAAGTAGACAGGAGAAATGCATTCATTGTACAAGTTATGTAATTTGTCTGGATAAGTATAAGTTTATTTATTTATTTACAATTTTTGTATACCACTTCAGTCTTAAAAGACTCTTGAGTGGAAATGTGATAATGTCCTGTCAGTTTAGTGTATTTTCAAATGAATGCTGGTTGGGCAATTTTAAAACATGCCAGAGCTGGGTTTCATTACAAGGAAGTTTGGACACTAGAGAGCAGGATACCAGAGAGAAAAGCCTGGACATGATCCAGGCTAGATCTGGTAGTGCTCCAATATTGTGGGAGGCAGAAGTGGACAGATTGGGCTGGATGGGTATGACCTAACAGACATCTGCAGAAACAATCTACAGTAGTAGGTAAATAGAGGCAATTCAAGAAGACAGAGCAGGAATAGGTCTTTGTGTTTGTACAGAGAAATGTTGATCATCAGGAAAAGTAGGTGTTGGGTGAGAGGTAACTCTGAGTTCAAAGTGGTTTTAGATTCCATTTGTGCCTTATATTCAGGTTTTTTAGCAAGTTATTTCACTGTTAGATTGACCAGGTTTTAGTTCATGAAATGGGTTTTGTGACTAGCCACCCTTGCAAGTGCAAGTAACATTTTCCCCAAGCCCCATATATGGCCAGTAAGATGAAGATGTCTGGACTAAGCCATGAGCAGTAAGTGATAGCTAGTGCACAATCTTTGTTGTGGTTGTTGTTTTTCTGTGTGTTCTTGCAGAGCCACTACTTGACCAGACAAACTTTCTCTCACTGAGAATAGTTAAGTACAGACATACTTTAAAATAGTTTTTATTTTGCAACTTACAAACAATTATCTCTCTCTGGGTTTTTAGGGAAGGGATAAAAGTGCCATGATGGAATGGATAAAGCTTTGTCAAATCTGTAAGAGCAAAGCAACTCCAGCAAGAATCCACTTAGCCGGCTTCTCTTTTGTTTTCAGGTTGAAGGTCCAGACGTAGGTGGGGCCTCTTGTGCGTGTCTTGTACACAGGACACTCATACATGTTCTTGATGTCCATGCGATCCACAGGGATGGCCTTGATGAAAATGACTGGCATGGAGGGCGTCAGCTCCTTCAGGCGTGCATCACTGATGACCCCCGTCTGCACATCCCAGCGCGCACCTGCAGCAACACGGGACAGTACTCTCAAGATCAGGGGCTTTGCAGGATTATCCGCCTTCCGGCTACATGCTAAACTTTGGCTTGCACGTTTTTGATGCCATCCCAGTGGTTTACTTATGTATTTTTACAGAGATGTGAACAAAATGAAACAATTGGATTCATACTCTACACTTGGCCCATAGCAGCTATTCTTTTATTTCAGAACTGCAAGTTCCTTTAACATAAGGTCCATTTATACCTAGTTAAGCAGAAAAATCTAGGCTTGTTTAGCTCAGTTTAAAACAACAGCTTCTAAAAAAAGGAAAAAAAATGTATCTTAGATACAACATCCCCAGAGTAGAAAGAATTTTAGAAGCTAACCTCTTGCTTTTAAATACCAGTGGATGTGATAATAAAATGGGCGTCTGCTGCCCTCTGCTGATACAAAATAAAACACTGGTCTTGTTTCTCTTTTTGGGGTGGTGGTGATGGGGGTGGTATTTATCAGAGTGCATTTGGAGGATTAGTTCTGATTGTGCTTTGGGTGCAAATAATATTGCCAAGTGGCTGATTTCTAGCATAATTTCTGTCAAATAGTCTAGTATTCATATATGACTACGAAAGCTGGGCACTGAAAAAAAATGAGAGAACGAAGATAGAAATATGGTTGCCTTTAAATTATAGATCTGGAGATTGTAACTAAGGCTACCACAGACTGCAATAACCATTCAGTCAAACCAGGACTAAATTAAAAATGACTGTTCTCTTGCAGCAGTGATCAACAAACAGAAGCAAGTTGATGGACAAGGAAAACAAAATCCATGCTTGTGGGTGAGTGGATGGATGGATGGATTGAAGAAATGACAGGACTGTCCTTGGAAGAGCTAAGAGATACGGATGGAGTCAGGCTGAGATGATGAATATTTGTCCATGCCATCACCAAGTGTCGAGCCTGACTCAATAGGGACTTAGCTAGCAAAGAGACTAAGCCTGGCAGGGAATTTTATTTCAAATTACTCAAAGCTACTGCACTCCTGATGTACTGGACTGCAACTCTCACTACTTCCACGGCAATTATGGAAGCTGTCATTAAACAGTAGTTGAAGAGTCCTACTCTATCCTTTAATTTTAGAGTATGTGAAATGGGCATCTGTATTTTTTATTTTTCTTTGTTACATAATTATGTGACAGTTGAAACACTGGCACAGAAAGTCTGAAAACAGAACATTCTGAAAATAAATCCCTTTCTCCATTTACCTGTCTAGTCTCAGAATAAAATTTGAAAGTAGAAGAATAAAGTCCTGTTTCCAAAATTCTTTTCTCTCTCCTTCCCCTGCCTGCTCAGCAGGCTGCTGTGGAAGAAAATACTGACTGCTGTCTGTGAACTTAGGTCTGCTGAAGGTTTTTGAAACTAAACTGAGGGTCCCAGGAAACAACGCCCCTATCTTATCCACACTAATAGACAAATGGTCTTTACCTTCCATGAACAGCCCATGCACATAGGAGCCTTCTCGAGGTGGAGCTGTCATATCTTCCCGGTTTTTCTTGGTAACTTCCACTGAAAGACACATTCTATCAAGAGGCCATTCATTTTTCCTAGCCATGGACTGCATAATGGCAGTCAGGAAAGACTGAGGATTGAAGAAACCTGCTAGCCACACAGTTGTGGGTAGGGCAAAATCTGTGGTCCAAGCCTCCAGCTCCTGGAAATGAAAACAGGGATGGTGGATTATAGATAAGCATGTTAAGGAGCCATACATACTTCATATTGCAGCTTTAATTCTCTCTGTGTATTCCTTAAAAACACCCCCAGCTTGGATGGCAAGATCTATTAAATAAAATTTGCTGAAGAAACAAGTAGGCACTTTGAGATTTGTGTGACAGCAAAAATCCAAACAAAGAGAGCTGTGTCTTTGTTTTGCTGTGCGTACTATTAAGCAAAGTTAAGGTACAGACACTTTGGCACTCTTCTACTATTTTAAAAATTTATTTCTACAAAGCAAACTTACAAGAGAATTGGATCACAAATGGATCGCACTGTTGGTGTAATCTGTTGTAAATTTGTCCCTTCTGTAGTCCTCTGCAAAACCGGGGGGGTGGGAGGGCGGGCTGCTGCAGGAAGAATGACCTAGCAGGATTTCTGGAGAGATGTCTATTGCTAACCATTATGATAACCTTGGATAAAACATTGCAATAAACTCATTCTTTTATTGAATAATGTGTATGATCATGTGAATTTATTTTGTTCTGCTTCTGTTATTATTTAACTTTTAAAAGGAAAAATGAATTAATTGGGTCAATGAGAAGCAAAGAGATGTTGCAGGGATCTGAAAGAAGATAAGAAAATGAATATCAAGTTGTTTTTCTTGACTGCTGGGATCCCAACTCATTCTCCTTTTAATGTTCAAATGCAGTGGTGGCAGATCCTTGGCAGCAGCGGATTGGTTATTTTTTAAAAAATGCCGGTGGGCTATGCGTTGTGCAGGCCTGCTCTATGGAAACACCAGCCTCGGGATTCATAACAGGGACAGCCATGCAATGTCTGGAAGCAATCGCTCTCCCACACATGTAACCTAAACTGCGTATCTGTTACGTGGATGGCATGTTAGTCAGAGTCGAAGAAGGACAATAGAAAACACAGTAACATCTTTAATAGTTAATAAATTTTATAATCTTTAATTTCACAAGAGAAGAAGAGAACAGTAACAGACTACTCTTCCTAGATATTCTCATCAGCAGAGGAAACTGCCAGACTTCCAACTAAGGTGTATTGAAAAATAACATACAAACTACCAGAGCAACAGTCCAACTGTCCACAAGAAAAGCTGTGCAAGAATGCTATACAGACAAGCAAAAACACACTACAGCAGCCCAGAACTTCAATAGATTATGTTTACAGCATAGAAAAAGGTGTCTTCTGCGTAGCCAACTAGAACCCAACCATCACAACCCTTGAAATTCTCCCATACATTAAAGATATTTAAAAAATCACAAGCAGATTACTTCATTCACTAGGCATCAGTGCACAAACCAACAAAATCCCTCCAAAACATTTGAAGCAAACCCAAAGATCCATCTGAAGAAGGCAGAACAGGAATTCTTTACAAGATACAATGCAAGGACTGTGAATGCCACCAAAAACAGGCAGAAGATTATCAGAGCACACCCATAAACATCAGCTCTCATAAGACATGATGTCCTTTCATTTCACAGCATATAGACAAATTTGACCATAAATTCAACTGGGAAACTGTTTTAGTTCAATGCAAGAGAATTCCTAGATGCCTGGCAGTCATCTAGACACATAGAGGTAGTCCTGGATAGATCAGTCATTAACAGACACATAGAGATAGTCCTGGGGTACAAACTGTTTTAAAAAAAAAAGCAAAGGTCCAAGAAGGAAGTGAATGGCCTGGGGTGCACCCTTCCTTATCATCCAGCAATCAACAAGTAGGTAAGCAAATAGGTAGGAACAATCTACAGTGAAACAATAGAACCAGCCAAACAATCAGAAACAGGCAAACTACAACAATCCTGATCAAGACAGGTAGGACAAGTTTGCTACACATAAAAAGCCAGCAAACCACTCTCCCTTGTGTCAGAGCACTGACAGTGTTACCTAGTATGGTAATGGAAGGTTTGCAAGAAGACCGAGCTCGGCAAACAAAGATCCCCATATGAAAACAATGCTTAAATGCAGGTTTTCAGCTTTTTGGAAAAATCAGCCTTAAAAATCTACAGCAAATTTTACAACAAAGTACTTAAAAAACAGACTGGAAGGTTTTAACTAAGGCTTCATAGCCCTCACCCTGATCCGGAGCAGTAGGTCTGCATACCAGGCTGCTAAGCTAAGTAAAGATGGATAGGCACGGTTTGTCCAGGATTCAGGCACGTTATCGTAGTAAAGAGCATTGGATAGTTCCTCCATGTCTGTTGTGATTGTCAGCTCACCCTTTGGAAAAAGTAAAAGCAAAGTTTTTAATTGATTGTTGCCGTTATCAGAACATCCTGTCTGAACCTATTGTCTGTCTGAATAATTTTCAGTGTAACTAAGGAAATGGCATTCCACTTGGTCCTGATTATCTGAACGGTAATTAAGGTCCTTTCAGAATTGTATTATTCAATAAGCAAATTGTTGTTTCTCACTTATGGGGAGCTTTCAGCATTTTCCCTCAAGTTAATTATGGTACTGTGGCAATTTAAATTTTCCAATGTACTACTGAGAAAATAAGGTTATTCTCCCAGTTTGTGTTATAATTGCCAGGGCTGAAATTAGGTGATTGACTGATTGTAGTATGAATAACAAGCATAAACATAGCATACACAAACATGATTTTCTACTCTAAAAATCAGTTCCTTTCTGTCTATGAATGCTTGTGCGTTAGAGTTTCAGCATGAGAATCAGTATCCAAGTTTTTGAGCAACCACATGCACCTTTTAACTCTCAGCTAAGCATTTAAAGGGAATCCTCTGCAAAAAGGATTAGTACAAATGAAGCACCCATGCTTGAAACATTAAAATATCTATGCCCTCTGGAGGGCTCATGTGGGTACTTTGAAGACTACCCCGAGTGGCTGTGCTGGCAATTCCTGGAAAAGTGTTGTCTGTTCATGTACAGACTCATGCAAACAGCTAGAGACGGCTTTTAAAGCAGCTGCGTGAGCCTTCCAGAACATGCAGCTGCATTAATGCGTAAAGGAGAAATGTTTGCACAGCACCATTAAATTGCTGCACTAAGCCTCCTCAAGGCATATTGTACGTAATGCTTACACACACACACGGCCTTAAACTGCCTTGGTTTTCAGCCCAATGCCTGCTAATGACCCTTATAATTAGGCATGTTCTCTAGCATCTTGGAGGCCAAAATAAATTTAAAGCCTTAAGTGCACCCCCAGGTGGAAAATATTTGCTGCCCTGTCCACTATGATTGTGGAGACTTCTTAGAATTAATCCTTGATGGATGGTTTGGAATGACTTCTGGATAATAGTTTTCTATACTGTATACTGAAGGCAAGCAATTGCCAGTGCATGAAATGATATCACCCCCACTGGATCTATATCCCTCAATTTTCACATGCTTAAATACACAGATTTTGTTCACTACATAATTACTCAAAAGAAAAACTATTCTGAATTTAAGATAATTCACCCCAAAAGGAAGAATAGATCTAATATGGACAGATCTAATTCAGTGCAGTGCCCAGTTTGTCAAGCTAAAGTTGCCCACCCCGGCTAAAAGCTGGAGATTTCTTCCTCTCAGTGTATGTGAGTGGCAGTCTTGTTCTCTGTATGTGCATACCCAAGGACAAGGATGGGGGGGAGGGTTTATGTTAATTGAATATCTGCTTAAATTTGCCTAAAACAGCCCCCCCCCATCTGCATAGATCAACCATTTTCTCTCACAGTATACATAGCGTCTCCCTATGAAAACCGCAAAAAAGAGAAGGGGGGGAAAAAAGGGGGGGGGGGGAAAAAAGGGAGGAAGGAAAGGGGAAGGGGGGGGGGGGA